TACAAGGCACAACTGAAATCAGCGTACAAGGAAACAATCGTTCACATTCGTTTTAGTGGAGAGACGGCAGGGAATGTATGCTACTACTGGCTGGACGATGCACCCTGGTGGGTGATTGGGGGAAAGGGTGGCCAGCGGCCCAGCGGGAAAGGGAGAGAGAGGGCAGTGACGTGGGTGCAGGATAGGCGGGTTGGAACAAAGTGATGATGCTGGTGGCTGCACCATGCACGCATGGGGAAGGGTAATAGTCAATAGAGGAGGGGATGGAGAAGGGATGGGAATGAAGAAAGGGGTGCGACTGGGAAAGGCGAGTGGGCGAGACTGGTGGGGTGAATGAGAGAGAGCGGTGAGTGATGAAAGGGGAAGGGAAGAAATGAGTACTTAATCCCACCTTGCCACTTTGTATAAATAGTACTGCCACAGGGCACTAAGGAACAGGGCATTCAGGCACAGGGCATTCAGCTGCGAAGCATAAGTAGGGCATGAAGGAAACACGAAGGCATTTAGCCTCTGGCGGGTCAGCCCCAAACACAGCTGAACCACCTACTGACCCGCCACTGACCCGCCACTGACCCGCCACTGACCCGCCACTCCGTCCTCCTAGGCATCATCAGGCCCCTGGTATGCGCCTTTGTACTTTGTTCCTCCACATCAACCGCGCGTTGCTACGTTTGTACTTAGCAAACCGTGTTCGTGCTCGTTTCTGTGTGCCTCTCCTACTCCGAGGGAGGGGAGCCGTATCCGTGCAGTGGGGCAGAGGTGGGTGTGGGAGAAGTAGGTGGTGTGGTGCAGACCTGAGGGGAGCGGGAACTGTGGAGGGGGAGGAGGAAATGGGGCACTGGCTTATGAGAGGGATGTAAGAAATAGTTAATGAGGCAGTTGCTTATGCAATTGAGAAGGGTCGGGGGGGTAGCTGGAGGGGAGATGGGGGAATCAAATCTCGCCTAGGCTGCACTGCAACCACCTTCTCAACCCACCTGGCCCGCCCATCACTCCCAGCGACTACTCACAAAGTCTCCTCTAACTCTCTCTCTGGCATCCAGCTGTTCCACTGGCTACTGGCCCCAACACCGCCTACCAGTGACTCAACACACATTCCTACACGCATCTCCCGCGCACACCGACTCTCACCTTAGCACTATCCAGCTTGTCAACCGCCCTGGCTCATGGGCCCTTCCCTTGCATCCATCGCTAACACCACACGCATACTCTATGGCCTCCGCCCACCCCACCCATCCCAGCAGCATCCCCCTTCACCCCCACTTCACCCCGCTTCAACCACCCTCAGCCCCCATCCAGAGCTCCCTCGCGTGATTTTCACACACACCCCCAACCCACAGGGTTCCTCAACGTCTTCCTCTCTCACACAAACATACCCGCCCATGCACGTCCCTTCGAAGCCACACGAGCAGTAGGCAGGCTGAAGTGGCACTTGTGAGAGGAGCGGCCGTGCAAAGCGAAGCTATCGGCTGGCAATCTGGATCGCTCGCACTTCCCCGTGCGTGCTGCTGGCCTCATCTATCTTGAGCCGTGGGGAGGTGGGAGCAGAGAAGCGGGAATCGAGGAGAAGATGAGGGGAAACAGAGGTGGCGGGGGGGAACGTGGGGGAGGAGGGAGCGGGGAGGGGCGGGAGTGGGGAGGGGGAGGGGAAGCGGTAGGAGTGCTGAAGTGGCATGTGTTGGCCGAGCAGCCATGCACAGTTAGGAGTGGCGCCACATGAGGATCGTACTTTCTCATGTGTGCTACTGGCCTCAACTATCTTGACCCGTGGGGAGGTGCGAGAGGAGAAGCGGGAATTGAGGAGACGATGAGGGGGGAAACAAAAGAAGATGGTAGGGGAAGAGGGGGTGGGGAAGGGGGCAGAGGCAGGATGAGGGAGAGGAGGTGGGGAATGAGGAAGAGCAGGAAGCCATCAGGTGCATCGCTGAGAACAAAAAGATTGTGCTTTTGAGAATTCTCAAAGGCGCCTCAAAAGAGAATTCTCGAAAGACAAGGGCAAGAAGTCATTAGGTGCGTGAGTAGTCGCTGTGAAGAAGAAGACCGTGCGGCGTGGATGTGCGCGGCAACAAGCTGTGCCACGTGGCATTATACGAAAACCTTATCTTTCTGAATCTGTTGGATCTGTCCCATGTCATGATCTTGCGACCTTCGGTTTCATCATGACATCGTGTAGCATAAAGCCCATTCGTAATGACGATGTTAAATTGCACGCATCAAAGCACTGGCAACAACCCGGCTTGCTGATTTGACGCCATGCGAGGAATAGCGAAACACGGAAAAGAAAACTGCAGCGTACCGTGAGCGTTACCGCGTGCTTGCAACCCTCCGACTCACCGTCTCTAAAGAACGCCACAACGCGGCAAGCTATGTACAGCCTGGGAATGCAGGCAAACGGCAGCATATTCATCATCTGTCCGACGTGAATGGAGATTCGCCTCAGGCACAGCTAGCGTCAAGAGAAGGCCTGCGACCGATGACAGTTGGTCGGTGAGCGAAATAATACAGGCGGGAACCCCATGGGTGCAACTGCTGATCCCCGTTCACCGGAATTATCCCATCTCAACCGCAGCAAAGGTGGATCGTGACCCCCGCAGCAGCAGCGGCAGCAGCAGCGGCAGCAGCAGCGGCAGCAGCAGCAGCAGCAGCGGCAGCAGCAGCAGCGGCAGCGGCGGCGGCGGCGGCGGCGCTTACTCAAGGCACCATCGAGGCGCGTGAGGAAAAAAAGCGGTCGGCATTCGCGGAAGGAGGGAGAGTGAGGCGTGTGAGAGTGAAGTGGAATTCGAGAGCGACTCTGCTGCTGCCTGCGAAAAACTGTGCGCAAGCAACGTGTCGCATTGGTGACACGTTGGGGTGCAGGTGCTTATGCAACGTGTCGCATCGGTCCGCGGCGGAAGGAGCGCCTCGAGGTACTCGACTCAACATCGCACGCTTCTCGAGTCCGGCGGCTTCCTTGCCGCTGCTACTGTACTAGGCGGGGAGTAACTGATGCGGTTCTACAGACGCCCATCGATGACGATGAGAATCTCGTCGCAGCCGTGCGAACGTCCTTCAGGTAACCCGCAGGGACTAGTTCCTGCTGAACCGGAAGCTCGAAAAGTGCTCACTGCCCAGGCGTTGTTCAGAAGTGCAATCTCGCAATGAAGGCATCCCGCAGTTGAGTAACCGCCCTACTGTCTCCAAACCAGACCCAACCCAGGCTTCGCACAGCCAAACGAGTCTTGCTTGGGCTGTCCCTTGAGGCGGGAGGGGAACATCAGCGGAGAGCCACGACGACACGAGGCTCCGCACCGCTGGCGCGGATGATACCCGTAAGATCGCGTCCGTAGTTATGACATGTCAAGTTTATGCGTGTCAACCCAAAGCGCGCTTTTTTTTGCGTGTCAATTACTGTGGCATCGGTGTCAATCCGAGACGCACCTACGAAAATTAGCGACGCAATATTATTTGTTGGGAACAGCTTGCGTTCCAGAATGATTCGTGCACGCTCAACCCAGCATTTTCTTCATGGCTTCGGATAGGGGACGGTGCGTTGTGATTGGGCAATAGGGGTCGTCAAATTCGACGCTGCGACGATTTTGGCTGGCTCGTAGGTATTGACTGTGTCAGAGCCAAAATTGTCCGACGAATTTTACTGGCTAACACATAAGCGAAAAAATGACACGCTGCCAACAATGTTGGTAAGTGTCAAAATAGCAAATTGACACCAGCGATTTTGACATGTCAAAACTACGGACGAGCCCTAAGTCGCCGAGGTTGGCGGAACCGTTTGGCGCGGGCAAAACACGAACCGGGGAAAGGGAGGGATGTCCATCCAGAAACGAAGATGCTGCTGACGTGGCTTGCGTACCTCCACACCACAAAATACAGCTCCCGAAATCAATCTCGAAGCTGCCTTCCCGTACTCACCAGGCCTGTCGAAGTTTCTGGGGCTCGTACTTGCGCTCCCCAGCTCCTCCCCATCTGACCCTTGGTTGGGTGTAGGTGAGCGTTTTGGCGCCCTTAACGGGCACGGGCGCACCCCAAAGTGAAAACTTGAAATCCGGGCATGTGCGAAGTTTGCACACACTGTATTTGGTTAAGTGAGGGAGCTGCTACGCCAGAGTGCTTCAGTTCCTTTGACGTGCTTTGGTTAAGTGTGTTGGATTTTTCTGTGTCCAATAGCCAAATTCAGCAAACCTAATCCTATGCGTCACTGCTGTAAACTGCGGCCAGCTCGTATTGTACGCTAAGGGATTGTTCGGGTGCTCCAAGGTTGACTGAGACACACTACACACACGAGATTGGCTAGAAAACGCTAAGGGAAAAATCCCCTCCGCGCGCTCTCGTGCAGACTAGGAGAAAGAGGGGGGTGGGGGGGTGTCTCAGGCACCCTGGGGGGGTGGGGGGTCCTACGGTCGGAAACCAAAACTTAGATAAAGGGGAAGGCCTGGTTTCGTCCCTTAACGCATCCGGGGAAGGGTCGAACGAAGCACTTAGTGGCACGGGTGGATTGCGAATTTAAAAATTTGACGCATTGGAGCTGGAGCGAAACTAGCCCTTAATGTCAGGGCATTAAGGGCATATGCCCGAAAATCGTCAGGCCTGGTACTCACCATTCCATTTCCAGTCTCATTTTCGGCTGCACAACAAACACGCCCCCCGTTCGTATCCCCCCCCATGACGTAAGTTCCCCCCATCTGCTCGCATTTGCACTCCTTGTTAGTAGATCGCACATGGAAAGAGCACGCTACGCTTACCCCAGAAATGTGGGTGCACGTTAGTACCTACTATCCTCGCCGTCTCCCATTATTTCTTTACGCCACGATCTCAAGTTGCCGTGCGTTAGTGCATCTGCGAGTCCTGATCTCAAATCTCCAAAATGGATCCACTCACCAACATCAACAGTCTACCAGACCACCTTCTCCTTTCGATCCTTAGCCGCCCCGTCACGCAACCAGAGTCATGCGAATCCCATATCGGTAGCTCTTGGTCCCCTTTTATCTACTCGAGTCTCGATTATGATGAAGACCATAGATCTTATAAGGCTCGGGTTTTCAAGACGCCGATACCAACCCCGCCTCCCGCCGCAGAGGTTGCCCACAATCTCCTCATCGCGTCAGTTTGCCGTCGCTGGCGTCGCCTAGTGAAGCTTCATGTGACCACGCTGCTCGTGAAAGAAAGGCTCGTGGTGTCTCTCGAAGACCTCTCACTCGCCGTCGCGTGCTTCCCCAACCTCACCCACCGGCATCTCAGCGACAACAGCGCTGAGACGCTCACCGACGCGTTCCTCGCTCACCTCGCGTCGTCCTGCCCGAAGCTCACCACTCTCCACGTGGGAAGGAGCTTTGATTTGCCGCGCGACAGCTGGGTTGAGGATTATGAGCCTTATCGCAGGAAGGAGAACCATCCGATATCTACGGACGGCCTGAACCGCTTCTTCCTCAATCTCCCTCTGCTAGAGCAACTTTCCCTCGTTTCCCCCCACCACGCAAGAGAGTTGCCGGGTTCCTTCTTTCAAATGAGGCGTCTCCGCACCCTTGTTCTAGACGACGCATCAGCCTTGGAGAATCCCGAGTTTGCAAGCCTCACTGCTCTTACCACCATCTATGTCGCCTTTCCCTGGACTCTACTGCACCTGGCCACCCTCCTCCGCCTCCCACGGCTCGCCCATCTAACCACCCTCGCCCCATACCAGAGCCTTCAGCCCTCGGCGGCCCTTGCTGCAAGGATAGCGCTGCCGTCTTGCCTCAAGTCGCTCACTTTTGCGATCAATTCTCCTCCTTTCAACGCCATCATCTCCCCATCAGCATCTCCATTCACCGGGCTAAAGGAGCTGCTCATCACCAGCTGCGGTGGGCTCACGGACCTTCCAGACCACATTGGAGACTCGCTTCCGGGCCTTCGCAAGCTCACCATTCGCGAATGCCCTTTTCTTTTTAGCCTGCCTGAAAGCTTCGCTTCCCTAGGCCGGCTGGAAACGCTCATACTCTATAAATGCGGTCTCAGTTCCTTACCCAGCAACTTCGGTCACTTACCTGCCCTCAAACTGCTGGTGCTGGAGCTATATTCTCTCTCGGAGCTCTCTCCTTCCTTCTGCCATCTCACGTCACTTGAGGCACTCTTTTTATCTGGATGCACCCTGCTTCGCCAGCTGCCAGAAGGTTTCTGCCGCCTCACAGCTCTCAAGGCTCTCTGCATCGACGAATGTGACTGTCCCTTACCAGACGAACTAGGGGCCCTTGCAAACCTCAAGGCCCTCTCTTATTTCTGCTACAGACAGCCCTCTACTGCTTCATTCACGGAGCTGGTTTCCTTGACGAGCCTTCAAATGCTTGGCCGCGGGGAGAAATTCCAGGTGCCGGAAGCTGTGGGGGAGATGAGCAACCTTCGGGAGCTGAAGATCTATGCCAGTTTAGTCTACACGTTGCCCATGTCGCTCTTCCAGCTCACTGGGCTCCAAACCTTGGTGATCGGCCAATTCTACCGACTCTTAGAACTACCCTCGAGGCTGGATTCGCTTGTGGGGCTTAAGACACTGGAGCTGACTCATTGTGAGCAGCTGAGTACACCCCCTGCTGGTCTGCCAACCTCTCTTGAAACCCTCTGCTTGGGGCCCTTCAAGAAAGGCTCTTCCGTTGTAGTGGATATCTCACAGCTGTCGCAGCTGAGGGTGCTGAAGCTGCACGGGGTTGGGGCAACATGCGGGCCTGCAGGGAGCAGCAGGTGGTCGTGTTTGCAGCAGCTGGAGCAGCTAGATTTGTGTTTGGAAGGTTGCAGCCAGAAGCTCCCGATTCCCCTGGCTTTGGTTTCTCTCCCTCGTCTGCGCAGCTTGCGGATAAATGCAAAGAAAATCCGGAGCCTCCCGGAAAACCTGGCAGCAGCGTTGCCGGAGCTGCGGCAGCTAGAGCTTAGTTCTTGGACTCGGGAGGAGCTGCGGGGAAGCATACTGCAGCTCACCTCACTGACGTCACTAAAGATCCGCGCACCTCAACTGAGGTCACTGCCTGAAGGCATGACCTCGCTGGTTCGGCTGAGCAAACTGGAGCTGATTGACTGCAAGGCCTTGCAGCACCTTCCGGAGTTTCTCACGCAGCTGCACCAGCTGGTACTCCAAGGCACCTCCATCCGAGACCCTCCTGCAAATCTGGTGCCACTGTTTGATGAGCTTCAGCTGACTGAGTGACTCGGCTGGCCGCCTTGGCCGCGCTAGCAGCTGACTGAGGTGGGTGGATGTGACTGCGTCTTCGAAGCTAGTGGCAGGGCAGTGAAGCAGGTGGCAGGGCAGTGAAGCTGGTGGCAGGGCAGTGAAGCAGGTGGCAGGGCAGTGAAGCTGGTGGCAGGGCAGTGAAGCAGGTGGCAGGGCAGTGAAGCTGGTGGCAGGGCAGTGAAGCTGGTGGCAGGGCAGTGAAGCTGGTGGCAGGGCAGTGAAGCTGGTGGCAGGGCAGTGAAGCTGGTGGCAGGGCAGTGAAGCTGGTGGCAGGGGACTGTTTTGGGACTTGTAGTGTGATATCTCATCTTACCGGGGGGGATGTGTGTGTGTGTGTGTGTGTGCGTGCGTGCGTGCGTGCGTGCGTGCATGCGTGCGTGCGTGCGTGCGTGCGTGCGTGCGTGCGTGCGTGCGTGTGTGTGTGTGTGTGTGTGTGTCTCTTGCTTGCCTTGCCCTGCCATTTTTTTCGTGTCTTCTTTTTTATGCATACGCAAACCGTAACTTAAGAAAACCACAATACCGAGCAGTAATATTGAGCTGATCTGGTACGGCAGCCAGTGCACTCTTGAAGTTCAGAATGTGAAATACGGTATTATATTATACCGTTTGAAGATCCAACCAGAAAATGCTTCGTCGGATAAAATGCCAGTGAGCCGCATACTATGGTAGGATGCTTTATCTGGAGGACTATGGTGTGCTTCTCTACTGGATACAGTGTTTGAAGCAACATGTGGTCATGTTTCAGCTTAAACAGAGCATAGCGCAACAATGACTCCCTTTCTGCCTGCATATCTCACTCCAAACCAAACCATGTACAGTGTGAATGAGAGTGGGCCCGCCGCGCCGCCCAACCCCTCAATCAGCAATCAGGTGCTGGCACAGGATGTCCACGCCGATCCATGCAAAGCTCAGAAACACCGGCGCCACGCTCAGCCCGAAGCCGCGTGCCTCCTGCTGCACGCGCTGCAGCTCGGAGGGATGGTAGCACACGTGGTACCACGCAAAGGCACGCGCCCGCACCGTTGCATGGTCCAGCCGCGTTGGCTCTTGCGCTCCCTGTTGCACACAACAGCACACACACCAGCCACAACACAACTGTAACCAGCATGCATGGTCTAAAAGCAGAACAGTGATTCTTTCACAGTGCCAAGCATGTGGAACTCGTGATGTGGGTAGAGACAAGGCATGCCAAAGCAAAGGCTCCATGGAGCATTGCTGCACGGGGCAGGCACTGTCCCCATCCCAGCACTCACCTCAACGCCGGGCTTGTGGGCGGTGGGAGCAGTGTCCGGCAGCATGGCCTTGATGCCCTGCACCACGTTCACCTTGGACGTCACCCGCAGCCGCGGATCCTTCTGCTGCTGCCGCCGCTGCTGCTGCTGCTTCGTGCGAGCAGCAGGGGAAGAGGTATCACTGCCGTCGTCATCGTCGTCATCGTCATCGTCGTCTTCTCGCTCTGCCCCGCACACGAGCAGGCGGTGGTAGTGGCGGCGCAGGTTGACGTACATGTTGCGCACGTGCTCGCGCACTGCATCGTCCTTGCGCCCGCTGCGGTGCGCTGCCTGCAGCATGCTGCCCGATGCCACCTCCGCCTCCGTCATGATGCCAAACTGCTCGCGCCGTGGGGGGGAGCACACATGCACACACACATGGATAAGCACATGCTGTACTGCAAGATTCACCAGAAGACGGGCTATAGAGACGGCTACCCGGTGACTACCCAATGCATACCTGGCGCCCACCTGATGCCCACCGGGAGCCCACCTGGCGCCCACCTGGCGCCCACCTGGCGCCCACCTGGTACCCACCTGGTGCAGGATGTGCAGCATGGAGCGGTCATATGCCCACTTGAGCGCCCTCGCCTCCTGCACATGCTGCTCATACCCCTCCACCCTTAGGTCCTCCCTGTACGCACGCCCCACCTCCTCCACGCCCGGCCACCGCAGCCACGTGCGCCCATCCTCCAGCACCGCCACCTCGCCCTCCCACCCCGTGCCCTCCCCCACGCCCTCCCTCCCCTCCCTCCCCTCCCTCCCCTCCCTCCCCTCCCTCACCACCCGCGCCGCCTCCTCCTCCCGCTCCCTCCGCTCCTGCGCCATCTCCTCCCCGCCCGCCCCCTCCTCCTCCGCCACAGCCGGCACCACTCTCGGCAGATCATCATCCGCATGAACCACAGCCGTATCCTTCACCTCACGGTACAATCTCCCCAGCACCTTATCCGACTCGTACGTCTCCTTACTCGCGCCCTTCTCCATGAAATCAGGGTATTCCTGCACGCGCAGGTCGCGCGGCATCTGCCCCGCGACGCCCGTCTTGGGGAAGTCGAAGGCGATGGCGGCCTCGCGCGCCAGGCGCAGGCACGCCGGGTCGGAGGCCTGCTGCGGGGAGCGGTCCGCGTGCACGACGTGCGCGTTGCAGATGATGCCCACGCTGTCGTTCAACATGTGGTCCACAAAGAACCGGTGCACGTCCTGGTGAAGCGTTGGGGCACAACAAGGGGGGGGGGGAAGGGGGAGGGGGGGGGCCTTTAATGAAAATGAACACAAGAGTCTCGGACCTCGTTCAGCATGTGGTCCACGAAGAACAGGTGCACGTCCTGCCGTGGTGTGATGGGCATGGGCGTGGAGGGAAGGGGAAGGGCGAGAAGGTTGGATGTTGGTCTTGGTTTTGGGACGCAATAGCAGTTGAAACAGGAACGGGAGGCACCTTACGCAGCAGATATTGCAACTGGACAGATCTATGCACAGGACGAAAGAGCGCGACGAAGTAGGAAGCAGCAGAGCCCCACCCACCTTCATGGTGACAGCGGCCTTGCCCTCCTTCTTCACGGGCTGGTAATCCATGGGCTCTTCACTCCGCCCCTTGGGCGGCATCAGCCTTGCGTCCCACGTGACAAAGTACACGTCCCCGTCCATGTCGCTCCCCGACGCCTCATTGGCGTGCGGGCGCGGACCCCTCCTGGGCAGCACGAGGCAGTCCACCAGGTGGTGCAGGCACGGCACGTCCACGGCTGTGAGCACGCGCAGGTCGCCCGGGTGCAGGCAGGGGTTCTTGCCGAATATGATGGGGCCGGTGATTACTTGCGGCGCGCCCAGACCACGCCCCGTGCTGTGCACCGTGGGGGAGAGGATCGGGGCTTCGGCGGAGGAGGAGGTGGAGGAGGAGGAGGTGGGGTTGGAGGGGGATATGGGCGCTGTGGTGTCGCATACTTGGATGAAGCATTGGCCGTACTGCACACAGGGAGAAGCATGGATGGGAAGAGTCAAGTTTGAAGCAGCATGGTGGGATGCCTTGGACGAAGCTTGTGAAGTAGAGGAGGACAAAGAGCTCGCATAAGTCATAGAATGGAGTTCTTGGTACTTTCATCTCTTGCACACTCAGTCATTGTCAATGATATCTTACCTACTTGCAGCTCATGCCACGAGGAAAACAGACAACAGAATGGACGAGCAATGCATGGATAAAAAAGGGACAAGAGATTCCTAAAAGGTTGAACTAAGACCGTTGAAGGAAAAGTGAAGAAAAGCAGCGCTTAGGTCAAATAAGTGCAATTGCGACCTGCCACTCGCTCACAGCATGGACCTTCACACGCTCTCTGCACTCACCAGGCATCTGAACCACCTCACCCCGCGCACCTCACCTCCAGCAGCCCTGTCTCGTCCACCACTCCCATGAGCCACCGCCCGTCCTTCACAAATATGCGTGCCTTCGATATCAGCCCCTGCAGCTGCAGCGACCTGCACACGCAAGTGTGAAAGGAGCAGTTGCAGAAAGAAGGGGCGAGAGGCAGGAGAAACAAGAACTAAACTGCATAAGAAAAAAAGAGTGGCATTGTGTGGACACATTGGATAACAGCGGCTTTCAGTCGGTAGTAGGTCAGATGAGGGAGAGAGCCATAAGCTGCAGAAGGATGCGATGGAAGAGCAGCGTGCTGCACATGCACATTGGAAAAAAAAAAGCACGCAAACACCCTCAACAACCGCACAGCACCGCGAGCGTTACCTTACGGCGCGCATCATGCGCTTGAGGTGTGGCTCGCGGTGGGGGTGGAAACCGGCGGAGAGCATAGTCATGGCCACGTTGTAAAGGTCGTCGGCACATGACTCCTCCAGCAGCTGCAGTGCAGCCTCCCTCTCACTGAGAGCGCGGTCCAACTGCTGTAGCATGGCGTCCTGGCAGGGCGCAGAGCACATGTGTTCATGGCGGATTCAAGGCATGGCGGGAGCAGTGCGCGTGGGGGATGCATGCGAGGGGGGGGGGGACACGGAGTGGAGGATTGAAGTGAGGTGGGATAGAGTTTATGGCAGGGTGAAGCCGTGCATTGCTGGTGAGAGAGCACACGGACGCAGCCCAGGTGGCATTGCTTTGGGTGCATGCTGCTGCTTGGGGTATGGTTACAGGCATGAAATGGGGATGCATGGGGTATGCAATGCAATGAGCCATGTGGGGAAACAGGAATGGAAGAGGGGTTTACAGGAGGGTTCAGCAATAATGCACACACTAGGGCTTGTGTGCACACAGTAGTGAGCACACTAGCGCACACACAATAAGTGCACACACTAGCGCACACACAATAAGTGCACACACTAGCGCACACACAATAAGTGCACACACTAGCGCACACACAATAAGTGCACACACTAGCGCACACACAATAAGTGCACACACTAGCGCACACACAATAAGTGCACACACTAGCGCACACACAATAAGTGCACACACTAGCGCACACACAATAAGTGCACACACTAGCGCACACACAATAAGTGCACACACTAGCGCACACACAATAAGTGCACACACTAGTGCACACACAATAAGTGCACACACTAGTGCACAAACAATAAGTGCACACACTAGTGCACAAACAATAAGTGCACACACTAGTGCACACACAATAAGCAGCAGCGGAATGGGTGCACAGAGCAGGGAGCAGGACGTGCACGGACCTGCATGTGCAGGAAGACGTGGTGGTGCACGGACCTGCATGTGCAGGAAGACGTGGTGGTGCACGGACCTGCATGTGCAGGAAGACGTGGTGGTGCACGGACCTGCATGTGCAGGAAGACGTGGTGGTGCACGGACCTGCATGTGCAGGAAGACGTGGTGGTGCACGGACCTGCATGTGCAGGAAGACGTGGTGGTGCACGGACCTGCATGTGCAGGAAGACGTGGTGGTGCACGGACCTGCATGTGCAGGAAGACGTGGTGGTGCACGGACCTGCATGTGCAGGAAGACGTGGTGGTGCACGGACCTGCATGTGCAGGAAGACGTGGTGGTGCACGGACCTGCATGTGCAGGAAGACGTGGTGGTGCACGGACCTGCATGTGCAGGAAGACGTGGTGGTGCACGGACCTGCATGTGCAGGAAGACGTGGTGGTGCACGGACCTGCATGTGCAGGAAGACGTGGTGGTGCACGGACCTGCATGTGCAGGAAGACGTGGTGGTGCACGGACCTGCATGTGCAGGAAGACGTGGTGGTGCACGGACCTGCATGTGCAGGAAGACGTGGTGGTGCACGGACCTGCATGTGCAGGAAGACGTGGTGGTGCACGGACCTGCATGTGCAGGAAGACGTGGTGGTGCACGGACCTGCATGTGCAGGAAGACGTGGTGGTGCACGGACCTGCATGTGCAGGAAGACGTGGTGGTGCACGGACCTGCATGTGCAGGAAGACGTGGTGGTGCACGGACCTGCATGTGCAGGAAGACGTGGTGGTGCACGGACCTGCATGTGCAGGAAGACGTGGTGGTGCACGGACCTGCATGTGCAGGAAGACGTGGTGGTGCACGGACCTGCATGTGCAGGAAGACGTGGTGGTGCACGGACCTGCATGTGCAGGAAGACGTGGTGGTGCACGGACCTGCATGTGCAGGAAGACGTGGTGGTGCACGGACCTGCATGTGCAGGAAGACGTGGTGGTGCACGGACCTGCATGTGCAGGAAGACGTGGTGGTGCACGGACCTGCATGTGCAGGAAGACGTGGTGGTGCACGGACCTGCATGTGCAGGAAGACGTGGTGGTGCACGGACCTGCATGTGCAGGAAGACGTGGTGGTGCACGGACCTGCATGTGCAGGAAGACGTGGTGGTGCACGGACCTGCATGTGCAGGAAGACGTGGTGGTGCACGGACCTGCATGTGCAGGAAGACGTGGTGGTGCACGGACCTGCATGTGCAGGAAGACGTGGTGGTGCACGGACCTGCATGTGCAGGAAGACGTGGTGGTGCACGGACCTGCATGTGCAGGAAGACGTGGTGGTGCACGGACCTGCATGTGCAGGAAGACGTGGTGGTGCACGGACCTGCATGTGCAGGAAGACGTGGTGGTGCACGGACCTGCATGTGCAGGAAGACGTGGTGGTGCACGGACCTGCATGTGCAGGAAGACGTGGTGGTGCACGGACCTGCATGTGCAGGAAGACGTGGTGGTGCACGGACCTGCATGTGCAGGAAGACGTGGTGGTGCACGGACCTGCATGTGCAGGAAGACGTGGTGGTGCACGGACCTGCATGTGCAGGAAGACGTGGTGGTGCACGGACCTGCATGTGCAGGAAGACGTGGTGGTGCACGGACCTGCATGTGCAGGAAGACGTGGTGGTGCACGGACCTGCATGTGCAGGAAGACGTGGTGGTGCACGGACCTGCATGTGCAGGAAGACGTGGTGGTGCACGGACCTGCATGTGCAGGAAGACGTGGTGGTGCACGGACCTGCATGTGCAGGAAGACGTGGTGGTGCACGGACCTGCATGTGCAGGAAGACGTGGTGGTGCACGGACCTGCATGTGCAGGAAGACGTGGTGGTGCACGGACCTGCATGTGCAGGAAGACGTGGTGGTGCACGGACCTGCATGTGCAGGAAGACGTGGTGGTGCACGGACCTGCATGTGCAGGAAGACGTGGTGGTGCACGGACCTGCATGTGCAGGAAGACGTGGTGGTGCACGGACCTGCATGTGCAGGAAGACGTGGTGGTGCACGGACCTGCATGTGCAGGAAGACGTGGTGGTGCACGGACCTGCATGTGCAGGAAGACGTGGTGGTGCACGGACCTGCATGTGCAGGAAGACGTGGTGGTGCACGGACCTGCATGTGCAGGAAGACGTGGTGGTGCACGGACCTGCATGTGCAGGAAGACGTGGTGGTGCACGGACCTGCATGTGCAGGAAGACGTGGTGGTGCACGGACCTGCATGTGCAGGAAGACGTGGTGGTGCACGGACCTGCATGTGCAGGAAGACGTGGTGGTGCACGGACCTGCATGTGCAGGAAGACGTGGTGGTGCACGGACCTGCATGTGCAGGAAGACGTGGTGGTGCACGGACCTGCATGTGCAGGAAGACGTGGTGGTGCACGGACCTGCATGTGCAGGAAGACGTGGTGGTGCACGGACCTGCATGTGCAGGAAGACGTGGTGGTGCACGGACCTGCATGTGCAGGAAGACGTGGTGGTGCACGGACCTGCATGTGCAGGAAGACGTGGTGGTGCACGGACCTGCATGTGCAGGAAGACGTGGTGGTGCACGGACCTGCATGTGCAGGAAGACGTGGTGGTGCACGGACCTGCATGTGCAGGAAGACGTGGTGGTGCACGGACCTGCATGTGCAGGAAGACGTGGTGGTGCACGGACCTGCATGTGCAGGAAGACGTGGTGGTGCACGGACCTGCATGTGCAGGAAGACGTGGTGGTGCACGGACCTGCATGTGCAGGAAGACGTGGTGGTGCACGGACCTGCATGTGCAGGAAGACGTGGTGGTGCACGGACCTGCATGTGCAGGAAGACGTGGTGGTGCACGGACCTGCATGTGCAGGAAGACGTGGTGGTGCACGGACCTGCATGTGCAGGAAGACGTGGTGGTGCACGGACCTGCATGTGCAGGAAGACGTGGTGGTGCACGGACCTGCATGTGCAGGAAGACGTGGTGGTGCACGGACCTGCATGTGCAGGAAGACGTGGTGGTGCACGGACCTGCATGTGCAGGAAGACGTGGTGGTGCACGGACCTGCATGTGCAGGAAGACGTGGTGGTGCACGGACCTGCATGTGCAGGAAGACGTGGTGGTGCACGGACCTGCATGTGCAGGAAGACGTGGTGGTGCACGGACCTGCATGTGCAGGAAGACGTGGTGGTGCACGGACCTGCATGTGCAGGAAGACGTGGTGGTGCACGGACCTGCATGTGCAGGAAGACGTGGTGGTGCACGGACCTGCATGTGCAGGAAGACGTGGTGGTGCACGGACCTGCATGTGCAGGAAGACGTGGTGGTGCACGGACCTGCATGTGCAGGAAGACGTGGTGGTGCACGGACCTGCATGTGCAGGAAGACGTGGTGGTGCACGGACCTGCATGTGCAGGAAGACGTGGTGGTGCACGGACCTGCATGTGCAGGAAGACGTGGTGGTGCACGGACCTGCATGTGCAGGAAGACGTGGTGGTGCACGGACCTGCATGTGCAGGAAGACGTGGTGGTGCACGGACCTGCATGTGCAGGAAGACGTGGTGGTGCACGGACCTGCATGTGCAGGAAGACGTGGTGGTGCACGGACCTGCATGTGCAGGAAGACGTGGTGGTGCACGGACCTGCATGTGCAGGAAGACGTGGTGGTGCACGGACCTGCATGTGCAGGAAGACGTGGTGGTGCACGGACCTGCATGTGCAGGAAGACGTGGTGGTGCACGGACCTGCATGTGCAGGAAGACGTGGTGGTGCACGGACCTGCATGTGCAGGAAGACGTGGTGGTGCACGGACCTGCATGTGCAGGAAGACGTGGTGGTGCACGGACCTGCATGTGCAGGAAGACGTGGTGGTGCACGGACCTGCATGTGCAGGAAGACGTGGTGGTGCACGGACCTGCATGTGCAGGAAGACGTGGTGGTGCGCGGACCTGCATGTGCAGGAAGACGTGGTGGTGCGCGGACCTGCATGTGCAGGAAGACGTGGTGGTGCGCGGACCTGCATGTGCAGGAAGACGTGGTGGTGCGCGGACCTGCATGTGCAGGAAGACGTGGTGGTGCGCGGACCTGCATGTGCAGGAAGACGTGGTGGTGCACGGACCTGCATGTGCAGGAAGACGTGGTGGTGCACGGACCTGCATGTGCAGGAAGACGTGGTGGTGCACGGACCTGCATGTGCAGGAAGACGTGGTGGTGCACGGACCTGCATGTGCAGGAAGACGTGGTGGTGCACGGACCTGCATGTGCAGGAAGACGTGGTGGTGCACGGACCTGCATGTGCAGGAAGACGTGGTGGTGCACGGACCTGCATGTGCAGGAAGACGTGGTGGTGCACGGACCTGCATGTGCAGGAAGACGTGGTGGTGCACGGACCTGCATGTGCAGGAAGACGTGGTGGTGCACGGACCTGCATGTGCAGGAAGACGTGGTGGTGCACGGACCTGCATGTGCAGGAAGACGTGGTGGTGCACGGACCTGCATGTGCAGGAAGACGTGGTGGTGCACGGACCTGCATGTGCAGGAAGACGTGGTGGTGCACGGACCTGCATGTGCAGGAAGACGTGGTGGTGCACGGACCTGCATGTGCAGGAAGACGTGGTGGTGCACGGACCTGCATGTGCAGGAAGACGTGGTGGTGCACGGACCTGCATGTGCAGGAAGACGTGGTGGTGCACGGACCTGCATGTGCAGGAAGACGTGGTGGTGCACGGACCTGCATGTGCAGGAAGACGTGGTGGTGCACGGACCTGCATGTGCAGGAAGACGTGGTGGTGCACGGACCTGCATGTGCAGGAAGACGTGGTGGTGCACGCCCATGGTGGCCAGCAGTGTGATGATCTGCCGGTTGAGGAAGCACGGCAGGGGCCGCGTCCAGTTCACCACCTCCACATCCGCATGCTGCGACTCAAACTTGTCCATACTGGGCCGGATCCACATGTGCGTCACTGCTGCTGCTGATGATGCCCCTGCTGCACTGCCTTCACGCTCTGCTGCCAGGCCTGGGCGGGCATCATTGCCTACAACAACATCCCCATGTGCATCACCACAGCCAGTAGCACCCACGCCCTCCGCTGCATGCATCCAGGAGTCAGTGGCGTAATCCCCCTCCCGGAACATGAGGTTCACCACCTGTCCCTTCTGCACGCCACTCATGCCCGCATCACCCACGGCACTCGCACCCCAGCTGCCGCTGCTACTATTGGTGCAGTTGCCGCCTGCCTGCCTGTGCAGCCCTGCCTCGTGCTCCACTTGCTGCATGACCCAGCGCGGCCACACTGTGATCACCCCCTTCACCCCCGCGTACCGGATTTGGAACGCTGATGGTGCGCGCAGCAATGCCCTCCCCCGCTCCACCACACGCCCCTTCTTCCCTTTTGTCCCACTGCTGCCAGCCCCAGTCCCACTCTTACTCTCCTTCTCATTCCCCTTCCCACTCTCCTTCTCGTTCCCACTCCCACTCTTACTCTCCTTCTCATTCCCCTTCCCACTCTCCTTCTCGTTCCCACTCCCACTCTTACTCTCCATCTCATTCCCCTTCCCACTCTCCTTCTTGTTCCCACTCCCAGTCTCCTCCTTCCCACTCCTACCCTCCTCATTCCCACTCCCACCCTCCTTCTCATTCCCACTCCCACCCTCCTTCTCATTCCCAATGCCACTCTCCTCATTCCCAATCCCACTCTCCTTCTCATTCCCAATCCCACTCTCCTTCTCATTCCCAATCCCACTCTCCTTCTCATTCCCATCCCCACTCTCCGTCTCATTCCCACTCACACCATCCCCAGCACCACCCCCAGAATCACCAACACCAGAACCCCTCTCCCCACCGCCTGCGCCACTCTCACCACCACCCCCATGACCCTCTCCATCACACACCCCACACTCACCCTCGCTCCACCCGTCACCCACGGGTCTGTCAAGGTAGGGAGCAATAGCATCTGCCAGGGCCATGCCCACCTCTGGAGACACGGCACCCACACCGTCCGTGAAGCAGAAGCTGCCGCGTGTGATGTCGGGCAGCTTGCGCACGTGGGTGCACGGGAGGGGGAGAGAAGTGAAGCGCGAGGAGAAGCACTGCCCCATGCGCGCCGCACACTTGGCCACGTTGCGGATGGCTGAGAACGTGCCCATCCACGCCTGGTGGTGCGGTGTCGTGGTGGTGGCAAAGGCAAGGGAGGGAGGGAAAGGCACGGTCATGCAGCGAGCACCGCGGCAGTGTATACAAACTTCTAAGGCGCCTCAACAGTCACACGTGGCCACGTTGCGGATGGCTGAGAACGTGCCCATCCACGCCTGGTGGTGTGTTTGTTGTGGTGGTGGCAAGGGAGGGAGAGCAGGAGAAGGCACGGTGATGATGAAGCGAGCACCGCAGCACCGCAAACAGCAGCCAGAAGACACCCAAGGCAGGATTGACAAGCACGCTGCACTACTGTTCCTCGCTCCTAACCTCCCATACAAAACAACCAGAGGATACTCAGCCCTGGCCAGGAGGATACCCAGTCCCACAGCAACACAGTCCTCAAGGCCACCTCCGTGCATCTCCCCTCCTTTGTGTGCAGTGCAGTGTAGCGCACCCAACAGAGCACGCACCTGCACGGAGGCAACAGTGAGGCCGAGCTTGGCATCCTCTGCCAGGAACCATGCTGACTTCTCCCTCAGCTGCGATGCCGATGATGCCAGGAAGCAGTAGTGCCGCCCACACAGGCTGAATCCCTGGTGCCGAGGCCACGCCAGGGGCACAAGTAGGGCGTGGAGACAGGGGAGGACGAAGAGAGAAATGGAGGGAAGGTAACGCAGGTAAGAAGTGATGGACAGTAATGGTGAACGAAAACTGAAGGATAGGAAGGAAGAGAGTACTTGGCTGGCGTGAGGGCAAGGTGAAGTGACAGGGTTGAAAAGGTAGGGAAGCACACATGTAGAAGGGTGGTAAGGAGCACAGCACACATGCATGGACCCATCAGCAGCCCCACGCTTCTCCCCGTGCAGCACGCACCATGAACCCTGCAACCATGTGCACATGAACCACATCACTGTGGCCGCACCAACCCCTCTCTCCTCCCAACTGGCACTCAGGACAGTACGTGCACCTCACCTCTTCCACGAGGCTGAGAATGCGCCGGTACACATCCGTGTGCCCAGCCCCGCCCTCGCGCCTACCAGCGGCGTCCATGAGAGCAAAAGACGGCAGGTTCTCCAGGCCCTCGTCGGTGAAGGTGACGCGCAGGAAGCGGTGCGCATGGGGGCGGTAGTGCGTGAGCACGCGGTTGGTGAGCTCCACACCCGGCATGCAGCACTGCGCGCCCAGCGGGGTTATGAGCACGCGGAACACCAGCACGTGGTTCGCTGGTAGCTTCCACGGCCACGCGCTGCTGCTCTCGCTCTCGCTCGCTGCCCCTGCCTTCTCCTCCGTTGCTTGCTGTTCTTGCTGTGGCTGCTGCTGTGGCTGCTGCGGTGGCTTCTCCGGCTCTCCAGCAGCTGGGCCCTTCTGCTCCGCTCCCTTCTCACTCCGCTGCTCCCCTGTCCCCTCTGGCCCCTTCTCTCGCCCCTTGCCGACACCCTCCCGTGCCTGCAGCTTGCCGTGGTGCCGCATGGCCCTGGCAATCTGGCGGAACTTCCGAGCGGGGTGGAACTCGGGGCGGGAGAAGCGGAAGAACTCGATCAGCACCGCCACCGCAGCGCGCACGGGCTCGTAAGCCAGCGTGCGGTACAGATGGGCGGTCACGGCAGTAGGAGGGATGGTGCCCTGCTGAACCAGCGCTGTGAGCAGGTACAGCACTGGGAAGGCCAGCACAACAGGCACCGCAGACTTGCTGCTGCTGCTGCTGGTGTTGGTGGTGTCGGTTGCGGTGGTGGCGGCGGTAATGGGGAAACAGGAGGGGTCGAGGGATATGAAGGGGGCGAGGTGGATGGGTGGGGCAGCGGCATATCGCGCGGTGATGGCGACGCGCTGTGGGTCGCCCAGGTAGCGCGCGCGGAGGTGCAGCGATGCGGTGCGCATGTGCGTTGCTATGCGCCGCACTTGGCTGCCCCGCCTCAACGGTACCGACACCTGCATCACTGACGCCGCCCCCAGCATCCCCCCACTCCACACCCGCCCCTTCCACCCACTCCCCCCACCACCGCTTCCACCACTACCATCCCCGCCGCCTCCCCACCCTGCACCAGCAACCCCTCCTCCGCCATCATCCCCCACGCCCACACACGCACCTGCTGCTGCGCTTGCAGCAGCGCCCGCCCTTCCCCCAGCAGGCAGGAAGTGCTCATCGGTGGTTCTGGTCCAGGGATCACCATCATCAGGGAACCAGCTGTCTGGCTCAAGCTGCCACACGTCGTCGTCGCACGCACGGGAGAACACAGCGGGGGGGACGAAGAGCAGCAGCAGCAGCGAGGAGGTGAGCCCGGGCCCGTCGATGTCGCGCGTGGTGCTGTCCTTGCTGCCCCACATGCGCACATCCCGCATACGCCACTCTAGTTTGTACTCCACGCGCTGGAACGCCAGCGGGATGGACGAGAGGGAGGCACCAGCAGCAGCAGGGAACGAGGTAGCTGAGGCACCTGCATCGTCCCTTGCACCCGCCTCTCCTCCTGCCGCCCGCCTTCCCCACCCCGCACCACCCCTCCCGCGCCCCCCCGCCCTCTCCTGCACCACGACCCGCACGCGCCTCTCCAGAAAGTCAAACTCCACCCGGCAGCTCTCGGGCTTGGAGCGCCACGTCAGCGCGAGCTGACCCGGCTGGTGCACAAACCCAAGGTGCACGGTGGAGTGGAATAGCAGCCCCTCGGGTGCTCTCCTCTGCTCCATGGTGCGCTGCAGGCCCAGCTGCTGTCCCTTGAGCACCAGCGCCTCCTCCCTCGCCATCACAAACTCCGCCACCTCTGCTGTGAGGAAATCCGCGTACCCGTACCCTGCTGACACCCACTCCTCGCGGTACCGCGTCCCCCCCACCACCGCTCCCTCCCCTGCGCCTGCTGCTGCCCCTGCTGCGCCTGCTGCCCCTCCGGGAACCCCTGCGCCTGCTGCTGTGGCTCTGGCGACAGGCAGGGCGCGGATGCGCGTGTACCCTTTGATCTTCACGCGGTCCACGGTCACGTGCAGTGTGTCACGCACGAACGCTGCCACGGTCTCCGCGGAAGTGTCTGGTGGAATGCGGTCGATGCGGATCTGAGCTGACGGCCTGCGACTGCTCGCCCTCTGACCGCCGCCCCTGCCGCTGCTGCTGCTGCCTCTGTTGCTAACGCTGCTGTTTCCAGCAGCGCTGCTGTTACTGTTGCTGCCACTGTTGGTGGTAGGTTCAGTGGTGTTGGAGGGAAGCTGGGCGGCAGCAGCAGCAGAAGCAGCAGCAACGGACGAGCTAGCGTCACCCTCCACTCCCTCCCCTCCACCAGCCCCAGCGCCACCATGCACAGCAGCGGGCCCAGGGGCGCGCATGGTAGCAGGCCAGCCCATGGCGTGCACATCAGCAGCAAACGCCGCAGCAGCTGCAGGGCCGATGAGGGACACGAGCGCGGCGTCCAGGTGGCTCAGGTGCGCGCTGCTGGCCCCCCCACCACCGCCACCACGCATGCTGCTCGTCACTGCGCTGCCCGTGCTCGTGCTAACAGTGCTGCTGCTGCCCCGCGGGAGAATCATGGCGCCCGCATGCGGTCCCCCCGCGCCCTCCACACTCGCGCTGCTCTCGCTCCCTCCCCGCCACCTCCCGCTGTCGCCCTCCCAACCGCCGCCTCGCGCTCGTGGGTCCGTCCGCGCCTCACTGTTGCGCCAATCCGCGCCTTCCCGCGCATCCCACCGGCGCGCGGAGGGTTCTTCCCCCGCTGTAAAGCCTCCGCCTGCTCGCGCGCCCCAGTCCCGCTGCGCCCGCCATGAGTCATGCCCGTCTGCACGCCCGCTCGCGTGCCCGTAATCATGCCGATACTCATGCCTACTCGCATGCCTATTCTCATGCCTGTAATCGTGCCAGTACTCATGCCTAGGCTCGTGCCCCCGCCCTTGCCGCTCTCTCGGCGCAAGCGGCTCCGCGGGGTCACGCCAGTGGGCGCGGCTGCTGGGCTCGCGGGGAGGGGCGGAGCTGGTATTTGCGCCAGCGGGACCTGCGGCGGCGGGCGCCGCGCGTCGGGAGGGAAACGCGCGGTCCACGCTAGCCGTGGCCGCCGCGGCTGCGGCAGCGGCGGCGGCGGCGACGGAAGAGACGGAGGAGAGGTGGGAAGAGTGCGCGAAGGGGAAGGAGCGATCGGGTTCTGCTGACATGGTCGCCACGGGTGCACGCGCAGTCCCAGACAGGCGACGAAGAGGAGTTAGGGAGGCACACAAGGGAGGAGAGGAGGCGAGGGAGCAAGGAGTAGGGAGAGGTATGTGAGGAGGTGGAGGCAATTTGGCGCTCTTCAGTCAGAGACGGGAAGGCAAGGCAAAATTGCTGCTTTATTCGTGGTCGACGTATTTCATGCTCGCTTTATTCCCTTCCCTTATGTATCGTTTTTTAGTGTAGAATACACATATTGGTTCTTGCTTAGTAATTTCACTGAGTGGTTCGCTTTGTTTATGGTTCAATGTTTCGACACATCAGAAGCTTTCAAGTTACTTGTTTCCAACATCTTGTACGCATTGCTGAGGTGTGACATAATATTCCTTATCCAAATCCACTACTACCCCTTTTCTCCGTTTGATATACCGGTATTCGTTCCTTTCTGTTTTCTACCAAGCATCGGCGGGTCAACGGAGGAGGTTGACAAAACGTAACTGCTGGAGGTTACGCGAAGGTCAAAGGTCAAGCGACCTTTGACTCAACAGCACGACAGGAAGGACAAACAACTGACTCGCTATTGAGCAGTTGCCCGAGTCGTCACTGTATCGAACCGCAACAGCAACAATAAAACAGTTATTGCATCCTTTCATATTCCTTGTAATTTTAGAAAAAGCTTAATTTTAGAAAAAAATTGTATAACTTTTCTATAATCAATCTATTTTGCCCTCACACACTAGCGCAAGGTGGTTCAACACTTGTCATTAAACGGTACGCCTCTGCAATTATAGTTTTCCGACCTAGAGTTTAGCCTTGAAAAGATCCTAAAGGCTTTTCTCGACCGAACATGGTATGAGAGCTCACAAGGTAAAACTCCACTCCGTTTCAACTCCTACAACATCAGAAGGCATGGCAACACAGAAAGAGAGAAGCTCCTCTAACGGCTCTCCCGGCACTACTCCTACTCAGCCTCCAACATCTCACCTACAGACAAATGTTAAATTGTAATGTGTTATATGTTGGTAGGCTGTAGTGGGGTAGCCAATATGGGGTACAACCCCAACTAGGGTTTGCTACTTGTACCCAACTGTTTCATTCAATGCACCATTCTTGCCTAGTTCTCTTAACATGGTATTCAGAGCAGGAGGTCCCTAGGACCTACCGACCGTTTTTTTTTTTAAGGGCCCACCACCGCTCGCATGCGGTTACCACGCTACCCCGTGCCCTAGCCTCGTAGCGCCCTCGTGCGCCCTCGTTAGCGCCCTCGTGCGCCCTCGTTAGCGCCCTCGCGCACCCTCGTTAGCGCCCTCGTGCGCCTCTCGTTAGCGCCCTCGCGCGCCCTCGCTAGCGCCCTCGCGCGCCCTTGTTAGCGCCCTCGTGCGCCTCTCGTTAGCGCCCTCGCGCGCCCCTCGCAGCGTCGCCCGCCCGCCGAGCCGCCCGCTCGCAGCGTCGCCCGCCCGCCCGCTGCCCGCTTCGCAGCGTCGCCCGCCGCATTGCCCGCTCGCAGCGTCGCTCGCCCGCTGCCCGCTTGCAGCGTCGCCCGCCCGCCCGCTGCCCGCTTCGCAGCCCGCCCGCCGAGCCGCCCGCTCGCAGCGTCGCCCGCCCGCCCGCTGCCCGCTTCGCAGCGTCGCCCGCCCGCCGCGCTGCCCGCTCGCAGCGTCGCCCGCCCGCCTCGCTGCCCGCTTGCAGCGTCGCCCGCCCGCCTCGCTGCCCGCTTGCAGCGTCGCCCGCCCGCCTCGCTGCCCGCTTGCAGCGTCGCCCGCCCGCCGCGCTGCCCGCTCGCAGCGTCGCCCGCCCGCCTCGCTGCCCGCTTGCAGCGTCGCCCGCCCGCCGCGCTGCCCGCTCGCCGCGTCGCCCGCCCGCCCCGCTGCCCGCTTCGCAGCCCGCCCGCCGCACTTCCCGCCTGCAGCGCCGCCTGCCCACCGCGCTGCCCGCTTCGTAGCCCGCCCCCCGCACTGCCCGCTCGCCGCGTCGCCCGCCCGCCGCGCTTCCCGCCGAGCTACCTACCTGCAGCGCTGCGGCAGCTTCCTTTGCTCAGTCGCGCTGTCGCTATGGCTTCCATCCGCGTGCTGTCGTTCGATGCTGAGGGCCGCCCTGTGAAGTTCGCCACTTGGCTGGATGACCTGCAGCTGTTCCTTCTGAGCGATAGCAAGGAGCATGTGTCGCTCTATGATTACGCGTCTGGTGCTGCACCTGCCCCTCCTGCCACAGCTGAGCTTAGTGTTCGTTCCCACTGGCAGACTCGTGACGCAGCTGCTCGCCTAGCCATTCGCAGTCACCTGCCGCTAGCTGAGCTCGAGCATTTTGGCGACTGCAAATCCGCTAAGGCCCTGTACGATGCTGTCGTTGCTCGCTACTCCTCGCCTGCCACAGCCGAGCTTAGCCGCCTCATGCTGCCGTACCTGTTCCCTGAGCTGTCCACCTTTGCTACAGTCGCCGATCTTATCACCCACCTTCGCACTAGTGATGCTCGCCTGCGTGCCGCCCTTCCCACCGAGTTCTGCGCTAAGAACCCCCCTCCACTGTACTGGACACTCCACTTCATAGTCACCCGTCTCCCTGACACCCTCAGCTCAGTTCGAGACCACTTCCTTGCTCGCTGTCCCACTGAGCTCACAGTCGCCCTCCTAGAGGAGCAGCTGCTAGCGGCCGAAAAGAGCATTGTAGCTGTCGGTGCTGCTCGTGGCGCTCCTCGCACCCCCATCTTTGAGGGGTGTTCTCCCTCTCCCCTCGCTCCCTCCTACGCTACTGCTGCTGCTGTTGACTTCCTTGGTGCTGAGTCTGCTGGCGCTGCTTCTGCTCCTGGTGGGAGGCGCCGCACCGGCAAGGGCAAGGGGGGCAAGGGTGGCGGGGGTGGCGCTGGGGGGGGAGGAGGTGGGGGAGGTGGGGGGGGAGGCGGTGCTGGAGGGAGCGGTGGCGGGAGCGCTGGTGGGAGTGGGGTCGGCGGTGGAGGCGGGGGCGGCGGAGGAAGCAGTGGCAGTAGTGGCGGCGGCGGTGGTGGCGGTGGTGGCGGTGGTGGCGGTGGCGGTGGTGGAGGTGGTGGCGGTGGCGGTCGGAGCGGTGGTAGTGGTGGCGGCGGAGGTCGGAGTGGAGGCACTGGCTCGGGCCAGAGCTCCCAGCAGCAGCAGCGTCCCCAGACGACCCAGCAACTTCGTGAGTGGCTTGCTCAGCGTGGGACGTCGGGGGGCAGTGGCCGCTGTTCCTATGTCATTCGCACAGGTGACCGCAAGGGACAGACGTGTGGGAGGTTCCACACCCCGTACCGCTGCTTCTCCCGCCTTGACGACGCTTGGCGTGAGGAGATGGGCGAGGATGTTGAGCGCCCCCGCTGGGCTGAGCTCATGAGGGCTGGTGTTGATATCTTTGCTCTTGACTATGATGCTATTATTGCTGCCATGTATGCATTGACTGTTAGTGCCGAGGGAGACTGTTACTTGTGTGTGCCGCCTGACCCAGGTATAGAGCCCGCTGCCCTGGGTACTAGTGAGTCTGCTCTCTCTGGTATGGTGCCCCCTGTACTTGCTCCCTCCAGTGCTGTCCCGACTGTTTGCGAGTCTGCTCTCTCAGGTACAGCACCCACAGAGACTGCTCTCTCAGGTACCGCACCGGCTGAGGCCTGTCACACCTTCACCCTTGACTCAGGTGCTTCCCGCTGTTTCTTTCGTGACAGTACTGAGCTCACACCGCTTCCTGCACCGGTCCCAGTCTCCTTGGCTGACCCCTCTGGGGGCCCAGTCCTTGCCCAGTCCACCACTGTGCTCCCTTGTCCGGCGGTTCCGTCTGGCTCGTTGTCGGGTTTCCACCTCCCCTCGTTCTCGACGAACCTGGTGAGCAACGCAGTCCTTCAGGATCATTGGGTTGACACCTTTACCCCTGGAGGACAGCGTGTGGCGATCTGCACGTGCTCCAGGACCGGCCGTCACCTGGCTACGTTTACCCGTCGGCCGGGGTCGAGTCTCTACACACTGACCACTGCGTCTCCTCAGGTCGCTGCTGTCGGTCAGGTGTCCGCGTCAGGTCTGGTGGCCCACGCCTGTGAGTGTCGTTCCCTGTCGCACCAGACTCTTCTCTGGCACCACCGCCTGGGTCACCCCTCCTTGCCACGCCTCCGTGGCATGCACCGTCGCCGCCTTGTGTCTGGTCTTCCCAGGTCCCTCCCTCCCCTCCCTGCCTCGCCTGCGCCGCCTTGCCTTCCTTGCGTCGAGGGGCGGCAGCGCGCCGCTCCTCACTCCTCCTCGTTCCCCCCGACAGAGGCTCCTCTGCAGACCCTCCACCTGGACGTGTGGGGCCCAGCCCGCGTTCGTGGCCAGGGCGGTGAGCGGTACTTTTTGCTGGTTGTCGACGACTACTCGCGTTACACCACGGTCTTCCCCTTGCGCACCAAGGGTGAGGTCCCTGCTGTTCTGATCCCTTGGATCCGCACAGTTCGTCTCCAGCTCCGCCGCCGTTTCCGGACGGATCTTCCTGTCCTGCGTCTGCACTCTGACAGAGGTGGTGAGTTTTCCTCCGATCTCTTGAGGACCTTCTGTCAGGCGGAGGGCATCGAGCAGACCTTCACGCTTCCGGACTCCCCACAGCAGAATGGGGTTGCTGAGCGCCGCATTGGCCTGGTCATGGAGGTCGCTCGTACCTCCTTGGTCCACGCGGCGGCTCCCCATTTTCTGTGGCCGTTTGCTGTCCGGTACGCCGCGCATCAGCTCAACCTCTGACCCCGTGTCTCCTTGCCGGAGACCTCGCCCACACTGTGTTGGACGGGGGAGGTTGGCGATGCGTCGCGCTTCCGGGTGTGGGGTGCTCGTGCCCTTGTCCGCGATACGTCCGCGGACAAGCTCTCCTCCCGCACACTTCCCTGTGTCTTCCTTGGCTTTGTCCCTGACGCGCCGGGCTGGCAGTTTTACCACCCCACCTCGCGCCGGGTCTTCGCCTCTCAGGACGTCACCTTTGACGAGTCGGTCCCTTTTTACCGTCTCTTCCCCTACCGCACTGCCCCCCTCCCTCCCCCGCCGCTTTTCCTTGCTCCTGGTCCCCCTCCGGTAGACCCCCTTCCCCCTCAGGGTCCTGCTCCTTCAGGTGTCTCTCAGGTAGACCCTCCTCCCGTCGCTGAGCCTGTCGAGGTCACAGGTGACTCAGGTGCTGCTGCAGGTGGTGCTGCTGGGAGTGCTGAGCCTGGGGGTGCTGAGCCTGCGGGTGCTGGGCCTGGGAGTGCTGGGACTGCGGGTGCTGGAGCTGAGGGTACTGTGCCTGGGAGTTCGGCGCCTGGGGGTGCTGAGCCTGCGTGTACGGAGTCTGGGGGTGCTGAGCCTGGGGGTGCTGCGCCTGAGGGTACTGGGCCTGGGGGTGCTGCTGCTGAGCCTACGGAGCCTGGGGTTGCTGCGTCTGGGGGTGCTCTTCCTGGCGGTACTGGAGCTGCTGGAGCTGACGACGCTGGAGCTGACGGTTCTGGACGCCGTGGTCCTGCTGGTTCTGGAGGTGCTGGCGAGGGGAGGTCTGACGCTGCTGGGGCCTCTGGTGCTGACGTCGCCGACTCGGGGGGTGCTGCGGCGGAGGGTGCTGGTCCAGGTGCTTCTGGTGCTCCGGGTGCTGGAGGTGCTGGCGGAGCTCCGCCGTCGCGCCTGTTCTTCGCTCCTCCGTCACCGTCGGCTTTGCCGCCGCCTGACACGGTGCTTCGCCAGGTTCTTTCCCTCCCGTCTTCCACTGGCCTTCCCCTTCAGCCTGGCTCCCCCCTCCCTGCTCCTGTGCCTTATACTGCACAGCCGGACTCGCTTACGGAGCGTCGTGAGCCTGCGTCTCGTCCTGCCTCGCCTGTTCGCGCTGCTCGCGCTGCTCGCACTGCGCGCACTGGTCCCACTGGCCGTCGTGTCGCGCGTCCGCGTCCTCCTCCTGTTCCTGGCACGCATATTATGGCCCTTCGTCCTTCCACTGGTCCACAGCGTGTCCCCCTACCGTCTCCTCCTGCGTCTTCTCTTCCTGACGACCCTGAGTCTGACAGTGTTCGTGCTGCCCACCCTACTGTTACGCGTCTTCTCGCCACTGTTGTCACTGACCCGTCGTTTGAGTCTGCTGCTGCGTCTGCCCTGGTCGCTGAGCTTGTCGACTTTGCTGCTGCCTGTCGTCTAGACTACGCTGCCAGTCTTGTTGCTGGGTCTGAGTCTGTCTGTCCTCCGTCCGTCGGGGGTGAGTGTGCTCTTGGCACGGACGTCCTTGAGGACAGGCAGGAGGACTTCGAGTGTCTTGCGGCTGCTGTACCTCATCTCGTGGCCTGGTTGCTTGCCCCTGAGGGAGACCCGGATGCACTAGACATCCCGACTCCGCGCTCTTACGCAGAGGCGATCTCGGGTCCCTACTCCTCTCAGTGGCAGACAGCCATGGACGCAGAGATGGCATCCTGGAAGTCCACAGGCACCTACGTCGACGAGGTTCCTCCTCCTGGGGCGAACATCGTCGATGGCATGTGGATTTTCAGGGTGAAGCGGCCGCCAGGTTCTCCGCCTGTCTTCAAGGCTCGTTACGTTGCTAGAGGCTTCAGTCAGCGTCAGGGGGTTGACTTCTTCCAGACCTTCTCCCCCACCCCGAAGATGACCACTCTTCGGGTTCTACTGCACGTTGCTGCTCAGCGTGACTACGAGCTTCACTCTCTTGACTTCAGCACAGCGTTCTTGCAGGGCAGCCTGCACGAGGAGATCTGGCTGCGCCGCCCACCTGGCTTTACTGGGTCGTTTCCTCCTGGTACCCAGTGGAGCCTCCGCCGGCCAGTCTACGGTCTCCGCCAGGCGCCACGTGAGTGGCACGACACACTGAGGACTACACTTGCGGCTCTTGGGTTCGCGCCGTCTACTGCTGACCCGTCGCTGTTCCTGCGCACAGACACGTCGCTGCCGTCGTTCTACATTCTCGTGTACGTCGACGACTTGGTTTTTGCTACTGCTGACACTGAGGCACTCGCTCGTGTGAAGTCGGAGCTGCAGAAGAGACACACCTGCACTGACCTGGGTGAGCTGCGTAGCTACCTTGGCTTGCAGATCACCCGGGACAGAGCACGCCGCACCATTACCCTGACTCAGTCACACATGGTGCAGCATGTCCTTCAGCGCTTCGGCTTCCAGTTCTCCTCACCACAGGCCACACCTCTGGCTACCAGCCACTCGCTCTCAGCTCCACCTTCGGACGAGTCCGTAGAGCCGAGTGGCCCGTACCCAGAGCTTGTAGGCTGCCTCATGTACCTGATGACTTGCACGCGACCTGACCTCGCGTACCCTCTTAGCATCCTTGCTCGTTACGTTGCGCCTGGGAGACACAGGCGAGAGCACTGGGAGGCTGCTAAGAGGGTGCTGCGTTACTTGTGCAGTACGTCAGGCATGGGGCTGGTGCTTGGAGGACGCGACAGAGTTGTCCTCACTGGTCACTCGGACGCTTCTTGGGTGGACGACCTGGCTACTCAGCGGTCGTCACAGGGTTACACCTTCAGCCTTGGTTCTGGTTCTGTCTCGTGGCGGTCCACCCGCTCTTCTTCTGTTCTCGGCTCTAGTTGTGAGGCTGAGATCTACGCCACGGCCATGGCTGCACAGGAGTTACGCTGGCTCACCTACCTGCTGACTGACTTGGGAGAGCGGCCTAGTTCTCCTCCAGTTCTGTACGGTGACAACAAGGCGGCCCTTGCCTTGTGTCAGGAGCACAGACTGGAGCACAGGACGAAGCACATTGCTCTTCGCTACTTTCTTGCTCGAGAGCTTCAGCAGCGCGGTCAGCTTCGGCTTGTGTACGTGGACTCGAAGGCCAACACTGCTGATATCTTCACCAAGGCGCTCCCGCCTAGTGATCATCAGCGACACTGTACTTCTTTAGGCCTTGTGTCCACATTCCCTCATTTGCTTACTGCTTGACTTTCTTTGTACTGTACTTTATATATATCTTGTTGCTTGTCTTGTACTATATCTAGCACTGCATGTGAACTGGCCTTGTGGCCTTTGCTTGTGCTCGGAGTGTGGTGACGTTGTGATCCACCCTGGACTTGCGTTGCTTTGCTGGACTGGTCTTGTGACCCTTTGTTCTCCCCCACTTTGCCTATGGGGGTGTGTTAAATTGTAATGTGTTATATGTTGGTAGGCTGTAGTGGGGTAGCCAATATGGGGTACAACCCCAACTAGGGTTTGCTACTTGTACCCAACTGTTTCATTCAATGCACCATTCTTGCCTAGTTCTCCTAACAACAAAGGAAGGCACAGCGACGAGACCAGCTGCTGAGTCTACTGAGACTCCCGCGAATCAAACAACAGGCTTCGACCCAAGCATGATGGAAAGGTTCTTCTCCTTCATGTCCTTCTACGAGCAACACCAGCAATCAATGTCACCTACGCAGTCGAACAACGGCAACAACAACAACGACGTCACACCCATGAGTCTCGATGGCTCATCCTACGTGCGCGGAAACCAACAACAACCTACCTTTGCTCCATACGAGCCCCAACGTGGCTCCATCAGCTTCATGCCGCAGCCTTCACCTGGACAAGAAAAGACAATACGACAATACGGGACGCAATACGACAAGCAGCAGTACACGTATCAGTCGCTGATGGCGTACACGATCCTGCTATGCAACATAACGCCGGACGAGCAGTAGAATATCCGGTCTTATCGCGGATACGGAAACTCCGCCGAGCTCGCGTACAACCACTGTCCTGAAAGGCTTGTATTAAGCAACAGATAGTGTGAATCAAAGTCGTCTCATGGCACAACTTACAATAGTGGAAATGAAACCCGGCGAAAAGGGGATGGCGTATGTTAATCAATGCCGCGGACTGCGCGATAGACTCATTCGATGCGGAGGATCAATTTCCGCAGACGCCTTCGTCGCAGTAATTATTACTGGTCCTTGTCCCTATTGGCGCTCCAATCGAGCCATCCTCTGAGCCCACGGGAAAATCTCTGAAGCTGCACTCTGCGCCGAAATCCACGCCGAACATCAAGAAACGGACCTCCACGAAGAACGACACATGAGTTTGTTTTTCACACTCAGCGACGCTACAACAACAACAACCACCGCGAGAACAGGCATCAAGAACAACAGCCCGTACCTCCATTATGCCATCTCTGCAAGACGTCGGGACACCCTCGCACACACTGTCCAAATCGACAGCAGTCAACACCACTTCAACGTCTCCGGCCTTCAAGCAGTCAAGTCGCCTCGACACAAGCGCATCCACAGTTCAAGTACAAACTTCAACAACATCAACGACACAACCTGCACAAGGATCAAGAAACATTGTCAGCTGCATTGCGAGAATAACTGACGCCTGCATCACCGAATCACCACCACACTACTCACCAAAAGAATTACTCGATGAGAGCACCCCTCGTCGCGAGTCACTACAGCCGATCCCGACGTACGCAGCCATCGGCCAAAGCGAGCCGTCCGGAAAAGACACTTGGTTCTTGGACAGTTGCTGCGGACAACACATGTGCTTCTTGGGTCGCTTCGTTCAACGGGAACACCAACTTCAGCGCGAAGTCGTCATCACCGTCGCCAACAATCAGAACCTGCGCACACGACGACAAGGCATAGTTCAACTTCAGTCACAGGAAACAAATGTCATTCTACAATTGTCAAAGGTTTTAATCGCGAAGGGACTCGGCTACAACTTACTCAGCGTCAGTCAATTGATGGCGAAAGGGATCATCATGCCCACCCAACGCGGAAATACTGCCTTAATAC